ATTTACGGGACTTGTCTCCACCTTCCATGCGTTTTTAAGATTTACATCTAGAGTTATTATCATTAATTAGATTTGACTCGTTATTATATAAATTTAATAGTTTAATCGAAGATATATTTTTTGGTCAAACACCACCCAGGTAGATCGAACAAAAGATTTTCCCACTAATATTTTTATTAAAAGGCATTTGGCAAGAGATCCTATATATATGTCCTACATCGTGTGCGTGGAAGTACTTTCAAGACAAATAAATAATGAAGTCGTTCAAAATATTTGGACCCCATATTGATATATCTAGGATTGGGCCTCAGCTCTGGCATTTGTTTTGGGCTGGAGATGTGGTCCTTCTAACCAAAGCAGACCCAAAAATAGCAATCATGATACCATAAATTTGTTCAATAGAGCTGCTGGACAAATGATCAACTTATTTGGGCCAGTTTGGGGCTCGTGGGAGTATAAATGGCGCGGGGTAGTCATTTTTTAATGTGGTATTTAGTTTTTATCCAGCATTTTTAATGCTGAGCAAAAATAGTCACTACTTTATTAAAATTAATACGAAAAGATGGTTTTACCCTTTCTTCATGAGTGTTGTGTAAATATTTAGAACATGGTGTCCTTAATTTCATGAGTGCTGTGTAAATATTAAGGACATTTTGTCTTTAATATTTACACATTACTCATGAAGTTAAAGACATGATGTCCTAAAGTTTAACAATAGAAAGTGCAAATACAGGACGCTTTATCCTTAATATTTACATATCACTCATGAGGTTAAGGACACCATGTCCTTAACATTTACACAACACTCATAAAGTTAAAGATACTATGTTCTTAATATTTACACTGCACACATGAAGTTAAGGACACCATGTCCTTAACATTTACACTGCACATATGAAGTTAAGGACATGATGTCCTAAAGTTTAATAAAAGAACGTGCAAATACATGACTCTTTGTCCTTAATGTTTACACAACACTCATAAAGTTAAGGACCACATGTCCTTAATATTTATACAACACTCTTGAAGTTAAGGACACCATGTCTAGCACATAGGTATTTTCTTCCGGGCGGGTAAAAGTTTATTAAAGCACTGGCTAAAGAATAAATAGATTTTAATTAGTGGCTTAAGAATAAATACAACTCTAATTAGCGGCTAACTATGCACTTCCCTCCTCGTGGGACGAGGTGCACTAAAATTTTTTTCTTCATATACAATATTTGAAACTTATTTACCAAAATTGTCCTAATTTTGTATATTACCCGCCCTAAACAATGATTATTTACAAATTATATACAATCCATTATTAGTGCCTTAAATTAGGGGATTTAATTACATCTTTTTTCTATTTTCTCTCCATTCCTCTTTTAATAAGACTCCTTCCATGATAAATAACTTGAACATTGCCAACACAGTTTCAAGATCGATTCGAGCTGGAGTTATCTGGATAAACTGTTACTTTGCTTTTGATATGGATTGTCCATATGGAGGATACAAAAGCAACGGCTTTGAAAGGGATTTGGGAATGTAAGGACTTCATAAGTATATTCAAGTTAAATATGTAGCCACTCCCATTTACAACTCCNTATATATATATATATATAATATCTTATCTCATGTTTTGCTTAAAAAAAAAGACTCATTCTAGTTGTGTATTACCTATTTTAAGCCTTAACAAACGAAATTTCAGTTACAAAAAAAGAAAAAACGATACGCTACAATATGACAACAGTTTTGAATGCAATTGTCGCCAAAAATTTTCTTTGTTTCCATCTCTGTGATTGTTCTACTCTGCTTTTACTGAACAATTTCTTAACAAAATTATCAAACTGCAACACCAATCGTAGTTGAATCAAAAGGCATAATTGAGCAGATTTGAAGTTTTAGCAGATTTTAAATTAAATCCAACCGCCTCCAAATTTCTGATTCAACTTTGTATTAGTATTTCCAACAAGAATCTATGCTACCCAGTTAATTTCTCACACAAATTAAAATTTCACATAAAACTCAGTTTCTCCGAAGTGCGACGATGGCGCTTTTACTGTGAAACTCGAAATTTCTCCACTCAAACTATTCAGTTCCCCTCAATATTTAAGTTTTTTCGTTCAAATAAATATGAATCATTGTACATGAGTCGATTTGGAATTCATTCTCCACTTTTCTTTCCTTAATAAATCAACTGAGAAAAGAACAATCTATGGTACATCAACATACAAATTAAAAATAAATTTCGTACAAATTTAATGCAAATTTGAATATCTACAACAACATACATAGTAAAAATAAATTTCATACAACTTATCTACAACTTTCATACATTATTTATACCCAATTAAACATAACTACAACATCATACAACTTAAATATAATTTTCATACAAATTTTATACAATATGTCTTTTGTATATTTTGTATCTAATTTGTATATAATTTGTATGTGGTGTGTGCTTCTTCCTTTCTAAAATTCCAATCAAAATTTTCTCTCTTAATACAGTTTTGATACATATCAACAATTTTATGTAAAAATATAGTATTGATAACTTAAATACAAATTTTATACAATGATTCATATATTATACAATTATTTTTTAATTTTCATACAACATTCAAATAAAAAAAAAATATAACTACAAAAGAATATAATTTACATACAATTATAATATAATTTTACTACAATTTCGTAAGTATATTGTATGTCATGTGTTCTTCTTCTTCTTCTTCTTTTTCTTCTTCTTCTTCTTCTTCTTTACCAAACACCCTTAAAATTGAGATATAAACTCCAAACAATATTCCCAATTGTATGCAACAACACCTAATCCAAACAAATAATGGTTTTTGAAAATTCAAATTCAAATTCAAATTCAAAGCTTTTTAATGGCTGTCAATGGTGGAGAGTCAAACATTTTCAAAATTTATTGATTGTCAATTTCAATTTGAACACCAATTGTGCAACATGAAAGGAAATTGCTAAGTTAAAACTCTATAGTAAAACGATTGAAATCCATTGATGAATTCAATTAAAAATATATACAACATGAAAGGATAAAAAGTAGAGAACATCAGAGGAAGAAAAATTGGGGAAAGAACAGAGAATAAGAGATAGAGAGACAGAGAGAGACGGAGAGAGAGAGCGCATGAGAGAGAGAACATGGATCGAAAATAACTGATTCCTTATTCAATTCCTAATATAAAGGGATACTCATTTATAACTAATTTGTATATAATTGGTAACTTGTATATGACCATGTAATTAAGCTAAAACTTGATTAGGAAGGGTAATAAAGTTTCATATATAGTATAGGAAGGTAAAAATTCCAAAAAAACATCAGGTCTTACTGGCGGGGCGCAAGTATAACTCGTTCGCTTACACGTAAGTCTGAAGTCTCAACCTTCCAAGCCAACTTTCTGGGCGTTATTTGAGACGTAAGCTGAGAGAACTTTTCCAAATTAGAGCAAAAATTGCTTAATATATCTTTTTTTAGTAATACTAAGTATTCAAAAGTTAGCTCATAATAAATCTTCAAACTAAAAAAACCTCAAAAGCCAAAGACCTTTTTATATACATTCACAAACAAGGATAGCTTCATAACTTTTAATTCAAAGCAAACTTGGATTAGATTTAAATACCTAGACATGAATTGTGCTAAGTCAAATTCATTATACAATCAAGTAACTGATCAAACCTAAATGAGTTCTTAATTAGTCTAAAGACTCTAAACCATATCATGATACTAATTTATGTGGTTTTGTTGAATTTTGATTCTCACTACGATGTGACACAATTGATACATTACCGCTGTTAGTTGAAAGGGCGGCCACGTGTAAGATTCGAATATTTTGATTTGATTGAAATGATAAACAAAAGAAGAGGTAAAAAGAATTGACAATTAATAATTTAAGCAGATGTAGCATACACGTAATTGCACAAAAAAGAAATACTTTCTTTTTTCTGATATTTGTTTTGAGTTTTGACTCAATGTATAATACATTTTCAGTGACTATCATAATACCTTGTAAGATACGTAAGCGATACCATGACTATTGGTAGGAGTTGCTTTTGACCGCCTTAAGTGGTCAAAGAAAGATTTTGACTAAAAGGAGAAAGAATATTTATAAATTTGTCCACAGTTTCCAGATAAATGAAACTTTAATACTTAGATGAAGGAAGGTTAAATGCACTCTAATTTTTTTTTATCATAATCATTCCTTTCTTTTTACGTTCATTATTTCTTGGGGGTCAATTTGAGCCCAACCTCATTTAACTCGCTCAATCCGTCCAAAGTTAGGTCGGTCATTGACCTACCCATTTATTGAACTCATCTCATCTTGATCCAACTCATCTCAGCTTCTTTAAGATTAGGCTGATTGTTAGATCAAATTAATCCATGAGTAACTTTGCATTTGACCTTCCTTCATATATATATATATATATATATATATATATTTTTTTTTTCTTTTTTCTTTTTTCTTTTTTCTGATATGTTATATATGACTAGAACAAAAGAAGAAAATTCTTATTTGATAAGTAAACAATTCATAAGAGAATAATACACATTAAAGTTTGATAAGAGTTGGCGGGTGGGGCTAACCTATATTTTCAATATCTTAGCCCAGCCCATTTCAGCCTAGCCCAAATAAGTCCAACCCGTCCATTTGACACCCCTAAGTTTTTTATTTTTATTTTTTCCGAAGGAGCCGTTGAACTATAGATTTATATATAAAGAAGAATTAACCTTCATTTGGAGAAACGAAATATCCTAGAAAATGTGAAGCTTTCGTGTGTCACTATGATTTTGAAGGTAGTCATTAAATTATTATAGTCAAATCGGATATTCATTAAATCATAGATAATAAAATAAACTAGTGAGGTCATTCATATATTTGCCTAAGTCCAAAAAAACAAGAATTGAATATTAGAGAGATATATTCATGAAATTTCCTGGAAAAATTATAATGTGCAAAATCTTTATATTATCCAGTATCCTGAAAGTATAAAAGGGTCCCTAACTAAGTTTTAGGAATATCTCAATCTTTATTTTTCAATCTCCTATATATCTGCAATAACCAGAAAAAAAGCCTACTTTTCTCCCGAAATAAAAAGAAAAAAGAAAAGAAGAAGAAGAAGAAGAAGAAAAATATGACTGCAAACAAGAATGAATATGACAAATCTGAAGGCCAGTGGACAACAAATCTCTTCGATTGTTGGGATGATAGTTCTCTTTGTAATTACTCTGATAAACTCTTCTTTTGGTGGAAGAATACTTTTTTTCTTTTACTAATTATTTTTCTAGCCTTAAATCTTTTTAACTTTTTTGTAATTTTATCTTTTTGAAGGTGTGAAGACTTGCTTTTGTCCATGTGTTACCACAGGAGAGGTTGTTGAGATACTTGATCAAGGGGCTACATGTAAGAAAACTTTTAAACATTTAATAACAGGTTTCCTTATTAAACCAAGAATTTTCAATTTAATTAACACCAAATAAAGTTTTACCTGTAATATCACACTATAACATATTACCAATGAATGTGGTGGAATGGATAAGATCATTTTACTCTTAATCAATGGTCTCGGGATCCCTAGTAGGAAGCGCTTCCTCCTTTAATAATAATTTCTGCCAGGGGCGAAGTTAGGACGGCGGAAAGGGTTCATCTGAATCCTCTTCGTAGAAAAATTAACTGTATATGTAAGGTCATAATTATTTTTTATGCATAAATAATAGATGTTGAATACCCTTAGCATGTTTGTATGTTTATTCTTTAATATTTCGAATCTCCTTATGGTAAAAATTCAGGCTCCATAACTGGTTCCTATATGCATCATGAATCTGAATTAGTCGGGCCAGTGAGTACCAGAAATAACCATATGCTTATAAAAAAGCTAACACATTATGCTTAACTATAGTGCCACTTACATGAACGACAGCTAAAGGAGATGCTTGTCTTCTTGCTTATGCTATGGGTTCCATTCACTGTGGATGGATTTATGGAAGAAAATATCGAAGAAAATTGAGAGAACTTTTCAAATTACCAGAGACTCCATACTCGGACACTTTGATTAGTTGCTGCTGCTGCGTTTGTGGTATTTGTCAAGAGTACAGGGAACTTCAAAATCGCGGCGTCGATCCATCCCTAGGTAAAAACTAAAAACTAAGGATTCAAGTTATAAACACAGACTAGTTTTAAAGACTTTTAACATTATCAGTATAGTTTAACGTATGATAACAAGCTATCATCATTTTATAAGGTTGAAGGGGACCTTTGAAACAAGTAAAGTTGTCTCCATATGACTTATATGTCACGGGTTCGACCATGAGAGCAGCTACTAATGTTTGTATTAGGGTAGACTGTCTCACACTGCCTTTCCCTGAACCCTACATAAACGTGTAATACTTTGTGCACCGAGCTGCTCCTTTATTTTCCATCATTTTATAAGGTTATCAACTAATGTTTAACAAAGAGACTTATTTATAATTACTTTATAAGTAATCTGATTGTGTAATTTTTTTTATAATTATTTTATAAGTAATCTGATTGTGTAAATATTTTTTATAACATCAGGATGGGAAGGTAATGTGGAGAAATGGAAACGAGAAGGAGTAACTGTGCCACCAATTCCTACATTTACCATGGGTCGTTAGGCTCTTTTATCTGGAGTGCAGTGTGCTTGTTTGTGCTATGAGTTTTCGTTTTCTTTCTTTGATATATACCTTCCAATTGGAGCAAATGTAGAATGGTGTTGTTGCTACAATATTTGCTTGATTGTATTTGGTAGGTGTAGTGACGGAGCCATAATTCTCGCTAAGGGGCGTCCAAATATAAAAAAGTAAAAACACGATGAAATCAATTGACACTCATTGAACAAGGGTGCTTCCGCAACTGATAGTGTGTACTGTTTAACTATGTAATTATTACATTAATTAATAAATTTGTTTGTTGAATGATGATACTAGTAATTATTCAATTAGTGTTGTTACGTATACCTTCCCTCAGTCCATTTTGTTATGTACTTTTGAAACTTGTTGTGGTATTAGGGAAAGTAAGGAGGAAGAAAAAAATACAGTAATTTTTTAGAACATGCGCTGCGGAAGCAACTATACAATATAGGCATCACATACATGTAAACTAGACAATGATATCATTACGAGATTGGAAGCACTAACCTCTTGAAATAATAGTATATCCCAACAATATCCCACTTAGACTCATAACCATGCGTCTACAACTCTAATACCCATTCTTTCTACCTGTTTATCAAAAGTCTGCACCACTATTGTCACAATAAAGTACAATCGGTGCTTGAACCGAAGGAACTATATTAAGCTCTTTTAGAAAGTTCCCAGGCCAAACAACCTCTTTAGCTGCCTCAGATGCAACCACATATTCGGCTTCCATGGTGGAATCAACAACACATGATTGCTTGATACTCCTCCAACTTATGGCTCCACCACCTAAGGTAAAAATATATCCTGAGGTAAATTTTCTAGAATCTCTATCTAACTAAAAATCTGAATCAGTATAGCCAATGGGTGCAAGATCACCTGAGTGATAAACCGACATATAATCCCTAGTCCTTTTCAAGTATTTGATTATATGTTTAACGTCAGTCCAGTATTCTCATCCAGGGTTAGACTGAAATCTACTAACCATGCCAACAGCATAGCATATATCAGGTCTAGTACATAGCATATCATATATGAGATTCCCTACAACAGAAGCATAAGGGACCGCCTTCATCTTTTCTATCTCATCAGTCGTTTTTGGGGACTGATCTTTTGACAGAGAGATTCCATGTCTAAAAGGGAGAAAGCCTTTCGTGGAATCTTGCATGCTAAATCTGGTGAGAATAGTATCAATATAAAGTGCTTGGGATAAGCCTAATATCCTTCGCTTGCGATCTCGCATAAGCTTGATCCCAAGGATGTGTGCCGCTTGTCCCAAGTCCTTCATATCAAAACGCGAGGACAACTATTCCTTTACTAAATTCAACATGCTCACATTATTTCCTATGAGCAAAATATCATCCACGTACAAAATAAAAAATGTAACTTTATCTCCATCCCACTTCTTATAGACACAAGACTCATTTTCACATTGATCAAAATCGAAGGTTTTAATCGATGTGTCAAAACAAGTATTCCATGCTCTAGAAGCTTGTTTCAATCCATAATTGGATTTCTTTAATTTACACAACATGTGCTCATTGCCACTTTTTATGAAACCAACTAGTTGTGCCATATAGATGCACTCATCAAGACTTCCATTAAGAAAAGTCGTCTTGACATCCATTTGCCAAATCTCATAATCGTAATGAGCAGCAATGGATAAGAGAATCCTAATGGATTTAAGCATGGCTACTGGTGAAAAAGTTTCCTCATAATCGATCCCTTCAGTAAACACTTTTGCAACAAGCCTAGCTTTAAAAGTTTGTACTTTTCCATCCAGTCCTCTCTTTTTCTTATAGATTCATCTACAACCAATGGGTTTGACTCCAGTAGGTGGTTCTATAAGATCCCAGACTTGATTGGAGTACATGGACTCCATTTCAGATTTCATAGCAACAACTCATTTATCAGCATCTGTATCATGTAGTGCTTCGTCGTAATTAAGAGATTCTACATTAGTCTCTTCAGGGATTCTATCATAAAATTCTCTCAAGAGCGCAAACCGGAGAGGTGTTTTAATAATTCTCCCACTACGACTAGTCACTCCAGGTGCAGTCTGATATTTTTGTTGAATCACAACATCATTTTCTGGAATTGAAGCCTCAATGTTATCTTCCACACCTTGCGGTGCTGGGATATCATTAACTTCTTCTTGGAGTGCAGGCAGCAGAACAATTTCAAGTTGCACAATAATCCGAGGTTGCTCAACATTACTCCCACTACTTTGGGATAATGTGATGTCAGGTAATTGCTCTTGTGCATTCTGCTGCCTATTGACATTTCTCCCACTACGATAATGCAGTGGTATGTCAATACTGGCTTTCGGGATACGTTTCAGAGATGAGTCATTAGTTACTCCATTACTTAATTCCTGTAAAACTAGTTTACTTCTAGGAATATGGTTTATTAAATAGTCCTCTTCTAAAAATATGGCATTTGTCTTAACAATTACCTTCTTTTCTTTGGGACAATAAAATAAATTGCCTTTAGTTCCTTTTGGATATCCAATAAAAATGCATACTTCTGTCCTCGATTCAAATTTATCTGTTTTCCCTTTCAGCACATATGCTGGACAACCCCAAACCCGAATGTGCCGTAAACTTGGCTTGCACCCAGTCCACAATTCTGCTGGAGTTGAAGGTACTGACTTTGAAGGAACCAAAGGAAGGTACTGACTTTGCTGCTGGATTTGAAGGTACTGACTTTGCTGGAGTTTCTAAAGCACATCCCCAAAAGGAAGAAGGCAAATCGGAATAACTTAACATTGATCTAACCATTTCCATAAGGGTTCTATTTCTTCTTTCTGCCACACCATTTTGTTGTGGTGTTCCTGGAGCAGATAATTGAGATGTCATTCCACAATCTGATAAGTATTTAATGAATTCTGCAGAAAGGTATTCACCACCACGATCAGATCGCAATGTTTTGATATGTTTATCATGTCGTTTCTTCGTTTCTGTGACGACCCGACCGGTCGTCTTGAGATTTGTAGTCTCGTTTCCCCATTTTCTTCTTCTATTGTGTCCTACAATTGTTATATGACATACCGGGTTAGTTGGTTCAGGTCCGAAGTGAATTCAGAGTGAATTGAGACACATAGTCTCTTAATTGAAATCTTAAGCTGGAAAAATCGACCGGATATCGACTTATGTGTAAACGACCTCGAATTGAAATTTTAATGGTTTCATTATCTCCGTTGGGTGATTCTGGACTTAGGAGCGTGTCCGGATTGTGATTTGGAGGTCGAGAGTCAAATTGGGCTTGAAATGGCGAAAGTCGAATTTTTGGGAAGTTTGACCGGGGTTATTTTTTTGATATCGAGGTCGGATTCTGATTCCAAAAGTTGCAGTAGGTTTGTGGGGACATTTGTGACTTGTGTGCAAAATTTGAGGTCAATCGGACGTAATTTGTTAGGTTTCGGCGTTGTTTGTAGAATTTGGAAATTTTGAAGTTCATTAGGCTTGAATCTGTGTGTAATTTGTGTTTTGATATTGTTTGAGGTCATTTGAGGATTTGACTAAGTTCGTATGATATTTTTGGACTTGATGGTATGTTTGGTTGAAGTCCCGGGGGGCCTCGAGTGAGTTTCGGGTGGTTAACGAATCAGTTTTGGACCTTGGTTGATGGCTGATGTCTGCTGCTGTGTTTTTCTGGTTTCCTCTTACGCGTTCATGAGAGGAGCCTCGCGTTCGTGAAGGTGTGTTTTGTGTGTTCATCGTGAACGTGGGAGTGGTGTCACGTTCGCGAAGAGGAGTGAGGCAGCTGGGGACCCCCCTAACCTTTTGGTCTACGCATTCGCGAGGCATGGGTTGCGTTCGTGGAGGTCGGAGTTGGTAAAGCATTGCATTTGCGAAGCGTTGGTCGCGTTCGCAAAGAGTTAAACTAAGAGGAAGTCAAATTGGTCTACGCGAACGCGAGAGGACGGTCGCGTTCGCGAATAAGGAAATCTGGGGAACAATATTTAATTTCAAAAACGAGGGTTTGAACCCATTCTTTATATTTTGAGCTAGAGACCAAGGATTTGGGCGATTCTTGAAGGAATTTTCGTGGAGTTGATTGGGGTAAGTGATTCTTACTTTGTTTTGGCTAAATTCCATGATTATATCTTTAATTCCATCATCTAATTTGTGATTTGGGGTGGAAATTTGGGGAAAAGGAGGAAGTGTTCTTGAGTTAGATTTTTGAGGTTTTGAATGTGATTTTATTATCGGATTTGAGTAAATTTGGTATGGTTAGATTCGTGAGTAAATGGACTTTCAGGTTTTTGTGACTTTTGTTGGATTTCGACACGTGGGCCCGGGGGCCGGTTTGAGCCAATTTCGGATTTTGGCTTATAATTTCGTATTTTCTTATGGAATTGATTCCTTTAGCCTATATTAATTGTATTGTACTGCTTGTGGCTAGATTCGCGATGTTTGGAGGCTGATTCTATAGGCAAAGGCACCTTGAAGTAGAGTTTTGCGCGGTTTGAGGTAAATAACAGTTTTAAATCTGGTCCTGAGGGTATGAAATCCCAGATTATTGTATTATGTGAGTATTTTAGATGTGACATACATGCTAGGTGACGGTTGTATGGCGTGCACCGTGGGAATTGGGACTTGGTCCATTCCATGAAACTGGAAAGTTGAATAAACTTGTTGTTAGCTATGTTCCCTTTGTGTGCTATAGAAATTTGACGGTGAATCATGCTAGAAATCATGCTTAGGCTATTTGTTGGTGCTATAAAGACCTCAGTTGTCGTGATACCTGTTGAACCTTCCTGCTTATTGTTACTTGTACTCAGTCGTAGTATTACTTGCATATCATACCCCAGTCTCTGTTATTACCTGCCGATACATTATATCATTCTATTTTGGGCTGATTCTCCTTTATTACTGAGGGCCATGAGACTAGAGAGGCTGATGACTGAGTGAGGCCGAGGGCCTGGTTGTGAGGTATTGATACCATAGCACGTGAGTTGTCCGTGCGGATCTTGATATGATACTATAGCACGTGAGTTGTCCGTGAAGCATGTGAGTTATCCGTGCGGATCCACATATTGATACTATAGTATGTGAGTTGTCCGTGCAGCACGTGAGTTGTCCGTGCGAATTATAGCGCTTGGGCTCTAGGAGCCCCTCCGGAGTATGTACACCCCCAGTGAGCGCAGGTACCTATTGAGTGTGGGTATTGAGGGCTGAGAGCCGAGTGTTGATCTATTGAGAGAGCCTGAGGGACTGTTGCCCTGAGAGGTTGCACTTGTTTCATTTGTTGGTGCACTTAGATGATTTATGTCATTGTTC